AAAATTTTAAATTATAAAAAATGAATTTCTTATTTTTCTTTAACTGTAACTGCGTTTGAACAACTAAATATGTCAATGGATTGCCTGTAAGCAAAATTTTAAATCATGGGCAGTAAAAATGAAACATGGACAGACATCTTCTCATTACGTGTCTACAAATTTGAACAAGCTGTTGCTAGCCGAAGCTCAGGTGCTGATTTTTTTTATAAATGTCGTTTTCTAGCTTGCAAATTGCCAGGTAACGAGGCAGATAATAAATTAGTAACAGAAAAATATCCTGTCAGAAATTAGTATAAACCTAAAGCCAATTAAGGCAAGAATATACATTTTATTTATAATTTACGATAATGTTTCCCCATTAATTTCTAATTTAAGTGACAAAATCGCCTATCATACTGGTTTGTCTTGACAATGAACTTGGATCTTCTAATTGTGTCACTTTTATAAAAAGTCCAAAACTAGACTCAAGGACAACAGTCGAGTCTATAAAGTAATGTGTTCTAAGCCCTCTGAATCGGTTTTTTGAGGAATATAATCTGATTTATTAAAAACAATAGATTTAATCATAATATCTATCATATCTTTTATATTTTCATCATCATTCAAAATTCATAAATCAGGATTTTCTGTAAAACGTATAAACCAGATTTTCAAGAATATTACAATAATAAAATATCTATCAATTACTATTTTTTGACCAGTTTATTATAAATTATGTAAGTTAAATAATTTTCTTTTAATTTGTCTTCTTTTTTAAACATTTATGTAATACTTCCTAACCTCTACTAATAGTTTTCAGGTTTTATGATCTAATTCGACTGGTGTATAATATTACAACATTACTCTAACGCAAAGACATTCATGAAAAAATTGGATTTATTGTCAAGTTTCCTCACTCTTGTGGGTTCCTATTTTTAAACATAACTGACAAAAAAAGTTATTAAAAGACAGTACAACAGAATGTTTGTGACAAGATGCTAAATCAAGTACAAGAAAATAATATTAATAACATATATTTTCTATAAAGGATTGAATCTCATATTATTCCAAGAAAACAAACATCTGATGAACAATTTATCCTTTAAAGTAATGTAAATGACATTTTACCTAGCGCTACAGGTCAGAATAAGAAAATACATTTTTTATTAAAAAATGTTTGTTTAATGACTGTAAAAATAAAAATCATCAGACAGCAAACACACTAAATGGTTTAACATACATTTTTCGGAAAATAACAAGTTGTTTTTGTCAGTTTTAAAACTCCCTCTCTCTTATTTATCGTGTTACTACATCAATTAAATCTTAAGTGTTAAGAATAATGTGTTTTTGACAACATATTTCACAGACAGGTCATGTACTAAGGGAAAATAAACTAATGGCAAGTAGCAACAACTTTTGTTTTCCTGATTTTACGTTGCTTAAACTGAAACGATATGAATAAATGAATGTTAATTAAGTTTATGTAGGTTGATTAATATTATTAAAATTGTAAAGGGAAAATAAAATATTTGTAAAGCCCAAGGAAATCGTATTATTAAACAAATAATTAAATATGCTCAACGTTTATCACAACTCGTGAAAAGTTTTTTCTTATACACATCTGTTCACGAATACACACCGTAACTTAGTAATTAATTGCTAGAACAACGCGTTGCTATCAAAAATTGTCACAGCCGCGTCACCATCGTCTCATGAGGTGATAACTTGATTAGAATAGAATTAATGAGCGATTAGCCTATTATTTTGTGGTTAACTGAAATGCCCCTGTAGCTAAGCATTTATTAAACAAAATTTAACATGGTATAGCTAGTACAATGCAAAACATGGTCTTACTGTCGAAAATATTGTCACCGCCGTTCTTCGAAATTCGAAATGTTTGGAATTATTCAATTTTCATGGCTGAAAACATACATAGGCATTGCATTGTCGAAACCAAGAGAGTTGCACGAACAAAATTTGGACAAGACATAGCTAAATACAATGCAAAACATAGCCTTAATGTTAAAAATGTTGTCACCGCCGTTCTTGGTGGTGAAAATTCGAAATATTTGAAATTACTCAGGGTGGCCAAATGTAAACGAAACAGAGGCATTTTAAAGAACTGCGTCAAGATTGTGGAAAAACGCCCAGACCCGTCGATTTTAGATTAAAGTGGGACATTCCTTGCTGGTATTTTTGACTCCGCCACTTTCACCCCCAAGCAAGGGTAAGCATCACCCCAAAATATTTAAATGGCATTGGGGGTTGAGTAATATTTCTTTTGAAAGCTCTTATAATTCTCTTTACAACAGACTTTAAATTTTATAATTCCGCCCAATACTTTGAAAAAAATTTACATTTTAAAATTTAAATTATGTTTACACTGAAAGAAATGCGTTTTATTCTTTATTAGAATTCTATATACCATTATAAGACCATTGTATACTATATGTGACAGTTAAACAGGTGAATATTGGATATAAAACGCGTATTGCTAGCACAGTTGTATAGTGACTATAACCTTATTCTTTATTAAATTATTTTATAACTAGTATACAACGTTTTTTATACCCTTTACGAAATAATAGCAATAACTGTTATTAAAGTGTTCCATATCGTTATTAGAACATCTAGTACTGGTTATAAGTTTTATAATAATAAATGTATTAAACTGTTGTATACTCTGTATGAGTTAAAAACATATGACATTAAGTTTTCAGAAATTTTATTGGATAACTGTAATTACAAGCTAAGGTTCTAATGTAAACATACATAAAACATACTTTTAAGCATTAAAAATGATGACAAATCGCTCCCAAAACTGTCCAGTTTATTTTCTTAGCAACGATGCACCCGTATTTTCTTGTATTACATGAGAATTTGCACTATAACTCTTCCACCTTAAGAATGAAGCATCCCCAGAAAGGTTGAGC